ACACTTTACTTTTCAGAGATTGAGGTATACCGGACGAGAAGATGTGTCATAATTTCCCGAACGCTGCCCAGCCGAGTTGAATCCGTCGATTGACCTCTCGGTCGAAGTTGGACTTACCTAGTTGGACTATTTGTCCCAGGTAAACGTACTCGTCAACAACTTCGAGCATAGTGCTCCCAACAACTACCAGCATAGGTGTGACATGGACATTAAACATGATCTTAGTTTTGTCCATGTTGATCTTAAGACCTATCCGTTGGGAGACACTATTGAGGTCATTGAGCATAGTGCTAAGGTCCTCCAGGGATTCTGCCATAAGGATTATATCACCGGCAAATCGAAGGTGAGTGATGTACTCGCCATTGATGTTAATACCGTATCCTTTCCAGTCCAGCAGTTTGAAAACGTCTTCCAACGCAGCGGTCAAGAGTTTCGGGGATATAACGTCACCCTGTCTTACACTTCTCTGCCGTTGGATAGGTTTCGAGCTCTGATTCTGTACTCGGATAGCCATTGTAGCCCTACTGTACAAACACTTCAGCATTTCGATATACCGACAGTCAACTTGGTACCGCTGAAGGGACTGTAGCACCGCCCAAATTTCGACGGAATCAAAGGCTTTCTCATAGTCCACATAGCAAATCATAGTCCACAGGCAAAGTGGCAGATTGTAGTCTTCGGTCTTCTGTACAATATGCCGCAGGGTATGTATGTGGTCTATAGTACAGAAGCCTTTTCAGAAACCGGCTTGTTCGGGAGGCTGGAAGTCGTTGAGTCTGCGTGCGAGACGAGAAGGGAAATCGGTCTGTAGTTCCTCAAGAGAACGTTGTCACCTTTCTTAAAGAACAAGACCACCGCACTTCTGCTCCACGCCTCCGGAGTAGTGCCACCATGGAGGACGGAATTGAAGAGCTTCTGAAGGACTTCAAGTACCGGTGTTCCACCCGCTTTCAGAAGCTCCGCTGTAATTCCATCCTCGCCTGGGGCCCTGCCGTTTTTAAGGCGCTGGAGAGCCATTCTAATCTCGCTCAGACTGACGTCCGGGATATCATCGGAATAGTGTTGGGTAAGACTTGCTCTTGGATCGTTACTCACACTTGCGTGTGGCTCCAACGATGATGTGTACAGCTGCCCATAGAACCTCTCAATCTCACTCAAAATCTCAGGTGTCTCGGAAACCATGCTGCCACACTCAGCCTTCAGCTTTGAGAGTTGGCTCTTTCTGGCAGACAGATCTCTGGCAAAGACTTTGGGGCCCTGATTCCGCTCGATCGCTTCTTTAATACGAGCAATATTAAAGTTACGTAAGTCTCGCCGCATGCATTTGGAGATCTGTCTGTTCAGTTTCCTCTGTGCTGTCAAATCTGTTGACGATTGCAGCCTCATCTCCCGTCTAACAGCCATGAGATTAAGAGTGTGATCGGAGAGTTTTTGTGTTCTTCTGCGGCGGGTCTTGCAGAACTTAGCTCCAACCGCATGGACAGTTTCCACGTGCTTGTCATTTACATCGTCCACTGCATTGCAATCTTCTAGGCACTGAAAGCGGTTACGTAACTCGAGCTGAAAAGTCTCGAGATTCTGGATCAGAGCACGAGGGGGGACGGAGCGTTGACTTCATTAGACGAGACCTCTCCAACTTAACGTTAAGGTTCAGTTTGCCTCTAACCATTTGGTGATCGCTGCCAGTTTTCACCCTTGCGATCACTGAGACAAAACTGAACAGTTGGCGTCTGGTCGTCATAATGAAGTCAATCTCATTTTTTGTCGAACCGTGGGAGCTCGACCAGGTCCACTTCCTATGGGGCCGCTTCTGGAAGAAAGATTTCATCATAAAGAATCCCTCTTTCTCCATAAAGTTGGCCAGCTGCTGGCCCCTAAGGTTCCGTTGCCCTACTCCAAATTTCCCTAACTTCAGCTCACCGCCTTCTCTTGTGCCTAGTTTTGCACAGTGCACAGTGGGTTTTGGAGGAATACATGGCTCTAGAAATATCCTCATACATTTCCTCCACCTCCTCATCGGGATGTGCCGAGGTTGGTGCGTAGACCTGTATGACTTTCAGCGAATACCGTTTGGTGATTCTGAGTATCAGGTACGCGACCCTCGTCGACACACTCCCAATATTTACAATGTTGTTGACGAGAGACTTGTGGACGATAAATGCGACACCTCCTTGGGACAGATGGTCGCCCTCTCGGTGATAGAAGTAGTTGCCGTACTCGAGGATTACCGTGTCCTCCCCCTCTCTTCGGACCTCAGATAATCCAATAATATCCCAGCGACAACAACAATTTGTATACCTCTTCTTCCAGCTCCAGTATCTTCTCGTCAGTCCTCAGGGTGCGTGCGTTATACGTTGCCAGGTCGAGTCGTCGTAGGTGGCAACCGAACCTCCGCGGAGATTCTTAGCATCCCTGACTCGCCGTTACCATGGTCGCCATCGTAGCCAGGAATAACGGGGCCGCCAGGGACTGGGGGCCGTTTATTTGCGTCGTTGCTCATGGGGGGATATTTGCCATAGTTGCCACGCTTGGCGAGGGGGTTGGCATCCGCAGTTTTTTATTATGTTTTAGTTGTTGTTAGGAAGACGCTGCTGCCCATCTCCTGCCTGTTTCCCTCTGTCGTCTCTTACGACACCCACGGGAAGATATGGGATAGTGGATATTCTCAACCGCCACTACATGGCTACATACATTGTTTTATAATGCTAGGTTACTTAGGTAGATTTTAGTATATAAATAATTTTCTTATAAATTATTCATCGAAACGAATTGCACCATAATATGATGAGGTAAGGTTTGTTTTCAGTTTGTGCTTGTATTTCATATCGAAATATGATCTCCAAATAAAGCTATATACATAGTTTTTACGAGGTAGAGCCATGCTGCAGTTATTTTAGTAGTTTATAGCACTAATGGGTCAGCTCGACCGGGGAAGGACTACGCTCTCACAGAATACCAGCGTCAAATAGTAGCTTAATGCTGCTGTGTTTCGTATGGTGACTGTAAAGAACTGGAGACCCTTTTTACTGGCAATGAGGCATTCCGTTGTAATACAGGAAAGATGTTAATGAAGGAGACGTGTGGTTGGTACTAAAACTACCTGGTACCTTAACACTAAAGTATATTAACGTGGGAGCGCTACACTACACCTCCCACCGACAAAAGAATACAAAAATATGCTATCTATATTTTTTTTATCAATTCTTAAAATAGATCCTTAAGATTATTCTAAAAAAGGTTAATTTCATTATGAAAACTATAATCTAAGACATATCTAGCACGCAAAAATGCACAGTCACAGTAGTATAATTGACACAATCAGGCATAATTATGTGTAACATAAAATTATGTTTTGATTTCCACGAAAATTTACAATATTATTTATTCGCATCCTTAATCATTTTGTTATTATGCCTACCATTTATCTAGTCAGGACAATAATGATAATATATATAAATTACGTGTCACGTAGTTTGTCCGCGATGGGCTCCTAAACTACTTAACCGATTTTAATAAAATTCGCACACCGTGCGCAGTTTGGTCCAGCTTGAGAGATAGGATAGTTTTTTTGACCATGAGTGACTTACATACATTTTGCAAATTTAAGGATTTTAATAGGCTATGACAAAGGGTCGTCGAAAAGAGCAGAACAACGTCTGCCTGGCTAGTAGCTAGTATTATATATAATATTCTCTTAATCTTCATAATCTTTTACATTTCAATATTTTATTTTGTTCTTTTTTTCATATATTTACTTCATTCTTAGTTAACCATTACTTATTTATTTTCCTATTTTATCCATAACTAGTACTTTAGCTATTCATTACACATGTATGTCATTTCTTTCACGTACACGGCTTGCGTATATACATGATCAAGAAAATTACCAATATCATTTAATTCACTTCTTTACATTTCAGCTCATGTAATTCATTATTTAATTGTACCATAACTTTCACGTACACGGCTCGCGTACATACACGATCAAGATAGTGGACAATATTCCTATACAATTCATAATAAATTATCATTTCCCTCATTAAAATACATTAAAACTTATTCCGCATTTAATCGTGTCCGAAAAACCTTAAAAAATTAATTGGCTATTAGGTTTTCCAAACTCTCAGCTGATCAGGCTGATTGTGTTGGATATACTAACCTCCGGTAATTTTCTTTATCTTACTCTCGCAACTATACAGTATCAATCTTTTCATTTATAATTATGTATTCCGTAACTTAACATTATATTTAATCACATCTTTTACTTTATATCATAAAATAATCTCGTATAATATTTAGTTGGTCAGTCAGTTGAGGTCCACAATATGGGAACAACAAACTTTAAATCAATTAGTTGTGTAAAACATTATATATGTAGTGAGTTTCAAAATCGTATTATCCGAAGAAAATACTATCATAATCTACTCAAATTAGTACTGTTTTCCAAGAAAATAATAAATTATATTATTTAAAAGCTTATGGTCTAAATATTCAAACAATATAAAACCGAAAATAAATTATTACATTTCACATTAAGATAAACAGAACAAAGAAGTCAATGTTAAGCAACGTAATCATTACAATTAATATAGCAACACACAGATAAAAATACAAATTGTAATCCTAACCACCGCAAATATTCGGAGACAAGTTTGTTTTAAATTCAAAGTACGTATAAGGCATCGTTTGTAATTACATCGGACTAGGATGACACGGTGTGATTCACGCCTAATTTCAGATAACTTTTACAATATTTTATAATATGAATGCAAGTAAAATGTACCATAAAAGGATAGTTTTAAACATTTCCTTAATTTACATAGAAGTTTAGAGATAATAATAATAACAATAATAAGACGTAGGGAAGTGACGACCCCATCGCCCGCTGACGAAACAGTTAAGTGACAAAATTGCTACGTCGGTGCAGTCAGTCAGCGTCTTGCCAAGAGGTGTGAGCGCCGTGCCTCGGCAGTACTCAGGGTGCAAAGGCCCGTTTGTGCTTACGGCCGTACAATGATACAATGAAACGGTGCCGGGCCTGGGCGTCTCCCGCTAATTGGCGCCCAAAAAATTGGAATACGGCAAGCTGCCACTGCGGCGCCAAAAAGAATTGAGTCCGTCTCGCAAAGGTCCCGGCTGGCTTCCAAGTAGGTAACCAGCATTGGGTTCAGAGCCCTCACGACAGCCCGATTCCGCTTGCTTAGGGCTAAGCGGGGAAGTCGCGGTCGATTTTCGAGTACTCGATCCAATGTGCTCCTCATTTGCTCTAGTTCCAGTTCCTGGGCGACTGTTCCGTCATCGTTTGAATCAACCACAACTGGCGTATTCACGGCGGCATCCACATTTGCCGTTTGCTCAGCATTTTGTGGCACCGTATCCTCAGCCGCAGCATTTTCACCCGATGAAAGAACAGCCTCACGTCGTTGCCGTTCGAGTTCGGTGACATCAAATATATTTGAGCGCAAGATATACCGAACTCGGTCTGCCAGGTTTTGCTCGGTGACGGTTACAGATAGCTCCAGCTCAGCAAAAAGTCGATGCATCCTTGCCCGATACGCAAAACCTCCAGTTTCTCCCCCTTTCGTCCTAAAATACGCCCGCAATGCGTTGCTGTTCATCTGGGTTGTTCAACGCATGCGGCGTACTCCACCAGTGGCGGGTGCCGATTGCTGGGCCCGCGAAGACCCTGCCGACACCAAACCAGCTGGTGGGGATGATGGATGGGAGCGGCTGTTGGGTGGTCGTGCAGCACCTCGCGTTCGGCCGGCGGTTCGCATGCTGTCGCGTCCAGCGCCAGCTCCAGACGCGCTCTGGAAACCTCCAGGCAGTGGCCCTTTGCGCGTTCTTCCGTATTCCATCATCCATAGTGGTGGGCGTCATTTAGCGGGAGACGCCCAGACCCGGCGCCGTTTCATGGTGAGGCCATGTGCACAAGCGGGCCTTTGCACCTTAAATTTTTGCCAAGGCACGGCACTAACACCTCTCGGCAAGGTGCTGACTGATTGCGCTGACGTACCGGTTTGTCACATAACCGTTACGTCAGCGGGCGATGGGGTCGTCACTTCCTTACGAGAATACCGCTCGTCACCTGGACTCAAATCAGATGATGTCGCGCGCTCAAAATGGATGTCGGGGCGGCGGTCGTGAAACCAAGGAACCACTCCTCATTGACGCGAATATTGGCAAAGTGGTGAAACGCAACCGTCGGAACTTCTCCGCCGCTTGGATAGATTACAGAAAGTCATTTGACTCGGTGCCCCATACATGGCTAAAGAGGGTCCTCGGGCTGTACAAGATTGACTGTACAGTTCGAGACTTCCTCGAGCAGTGTATGTGGCAGTGGAGTACGATCCTCTGTCATCTGGGCGAGCGGATGACGGCTGCGGAAAGCCGCATAAGGATAAGAAGGGGTATATTCCAGGGCGACTGTCTGAGTCCAATCTGGTTCTGCCTCACTTTGAACCCTCTCAGTACTTTACTGGAGGGCTCCGGGAGGGGATTTCAGCTTCGGAAGGGAGGTACAAAAGTGTCCCACCTTTTCTATATGGATGACCTCAAATTATTCGCCTCCAGTCACTCCTATCTTATGGAATTGCTAAACATCACTTGTGAATTTAGCAATTCTATTGGAATGGAGCTGGGGACGGATAAGTGTGCGGTCCTCCATGTTGAAAGGGGAAGGGTTGCTAACTCTGAGGGCATAGACTTATCTATGCCCGTCAACATAAGGGCCCTTTCCGAGGCTGAAACATACCGATACCTGGGTATGTCCCAGAACATCGGTATCGATGAGGCTAGTGTGAAACAGTCAGTTGGCGACGTGTTTTATGCACGCTTGACCAAAGTGCTTAACAGCCTTTTGTCCGGTGTGAATAAGACACATGCTTATAACGGTTGGGTCATGCCTGTCCTCATGTGTACCTTTGGCATACTCAGGTGGAGTCAGACTGAACTTATCGCCCTGGATAGAAAAGTCCGCACTACAATGACGTCCCATAGGATGCATCATCCGAGATCGTCGGTAATGAGGCTGTACTTGCCGCGAAAGCATGGTAGGCGTGGCTTCCTGAGCGCGCTCACCATGCATAATCGTGAAGTGTGCAGCCTCCGTCATTACTTCCTGGCGAGATCGGATGATCCATTCTATAGTGACGTCATTTCTAGTGATAAAGGACTTACCCCTCTATCCTTAGCCAACGAGCAATGGCAAGACCCGGCAGTACAGAGCATTTCCGACCGGGAGACCGTATGGAAGGAGAAGGAGCTCCATGGGAGGTACTACAGGGCTCTACATGAGCCTCACGTAGATACAGACGCCTCCCTCAACTGGCTACGTTTCGGTGACCTCTTCGGGGAAACCGAGGGTTTTGTCTGTGCAATACAGGATCAGGTTATTAAGGCCAACAACTATAGGAGATACATCCTAAAGGATGGCACTGTCGACGTCTGTCGAGCTTGTCGCCATCCCGGGGAGTCACTTAGGCATGTCATCTCCAGTTGTTCGGCGCTTTCTAACTCTGAGTACTTGCACAGGCACAACCTAGTAGCCAGAATTCTACACCAGGAGCTCGCTCTGAAATACGGTCTCGTGGACCGGAAATTGCCGTATTACAAGTACTTGCCGGAAGCCGTGCTCGAAAATGACCGCGCCAGGCTCTACTGGGACCGGGCCATCATCACAGACAGGACTATTCTTGCGAATAAGCCTGATATTGTGCTGATGGACCGGGCACAGTCAAGGATATTTTTGATCGACATTACCATTCCGTATGACGAGAACTTCGTGAAAGCCGAAACAGATAAACAAACAAAATATCTGGACCTGGCTCACGAGGTGACCGACATGTGGGGTGATGTGTCGACCAAAATTATTCCTGTAGTCGTCTCTGCGAATGAGCTAATCCCAGTCAGCCTCTCGGGTCATCTGAGGCGACTGGGACTCCATGACGGACCGCTCCGGGCTCAAATGTAGAAGGCAGTGCTCCTCGATACCGCCCGCATCATCCGCCGGTTTCTTTCCCTTTCCCCCTAACCCTCGGCTGTCTGGTCTCCCCTGCCGAGGGCCTCCATCTGGTAGGGCTTTTATTTATATATGTATTTTTATATTTATTTTATGTTATTGTTATTTATGTATATTTATCTTTTCATTTACATTTATAATTATATATTTATAGAACCCAACCAGATGAGAAAACTATATTGATACCCCCACATAATAATAAATTTATTGCCTCTAAAACACACAGTTACATTCACGCTAAAACAAAAGAACATTATAATTATTTGAGACAAAAGGAGACGGCTCAGCTTTGTCTGTAACGAGATACAGATCTCATACAGAGCTGTTTTTCAGCCGCTCCCTCCTCCCTGAGGTGAGGTCCCCATTTACCTGACTTATACTTTTAAACTACGTGCAAAGTAATTAAATATTATATCAATATAAAATATTTTTTTTAATTAAAAAAATGTTATATAAATATTAAATCGCAAACACAAAAATAAGATTAAAAACATTAAAGACAAAATAAAAAACATTTAAAAATATGAATAAAACAATCATTACGAAATGAACTAACAACAGATTCAAAAACAACACGAGAAATAGAAAATATAAAATAAACTTTCCTTTCTTTGAACTTATATGTGTCTATTTGTGTGTGTGTGTGTGTGTGTGTTTGTGTGTATGTGTGTGTGTGTGTGTGTGTGTGTGTGTGTGTGTGTGTGTGTGTGCGTGTGTGTGTGTGTCTGTGTGTGCGCGCGCGCGCGTGTGTGTGTGTGTGTGTGTGTGTGTGTGTACGTGCGTGCGTGCGTGCGTGCGTGCGTGCGTGCGTGCGTGCGTGCGTGCGTGCGTGCGTACGTGCGTGCGTGCGTGCGTGCGTGTGCGGGTGTGTGGAGGAGCATTTGTGTGTGAGAACGAATACTTCGACAGGATATATCTTTGATCCAGGTGAGTTTTTCAAAAAGGTATTCTGGCTTTTTGTTCCAAATTACCTTTTGGACTATCGAAGCATAGTGTAATTCTCTCCTGGCGCCCATATTGAGTATGCCTTTTTCATTTAAGTATGGGGTTATAAATTGTCTTCTTGGTAAATTACAACAGTATCGAACACATGCATTTTGTACTCTCTGTATTGCTCTTTCGGTATTAGGTGACAATTTAGGTCCAAAGACTGAGCTGCAGTAGCTCAATTGTGATAACACCAATGAGCCACACAAGAGAAAGCGTAGGTCCTCTTTAATATACGGTCTTATTTTGTATAAAGTTTTAAGTTTAAAGTACGAATTTCTTATCTTGTTATTGATGTGTTCTACAAATTTCTGCTCTCCGTCTAGTATAAGCCCTAAATTACGAGCGGATCTTACTTGTGTCAAGGTTTCATGTTCTATTTTAATAGTTTCCTCGCTGTCTGAAATAGTTTTTATTTCGTTTTTTGTGCCCAAAACTAGTACTTGTGATTTAGTTGCGTTTAATACTAGAGAATTTTTTTGGGACCAGGTTTGGATATTATGGAGATCCTCATTTATTCTGTTTATTGCCTCTTTAACATCCCTGGGGTCAAAAGAATAATACAGCTGGGTGTCGTCTGCGTATAAATGGTATTTACAATGTTTTATTTGCTTAGGTAGGTCTGCTGTGTACAGAGAGAACAAAATAGGACTGAGTAAGGAGCCTTGGGGTACTCCTCTTACAATTTTCCGTAGAGTGGAGAATTTCTTGCCACCATTGCATCCATCTGTTACCACAATTTGTTCTCTGTTGGATAGGAATGACTGAAACCATGTGTCTATAGAAAAGCCATAGTGCTCTAATATTAAAATAGTTACATTGTTAATATTTATGTTACTTTTACATACATCACAAAATGCATTAGCTTTTTTTTAAATACTTTTGCCATAAAAATGCTTTTTTTAAAAAAAAAACCACTATAACATCTATACTGTTTTAGTGGTTCACACAACGATAGATTAATTTATTTAAACATTATAAAAAACAATTTTTAATATTTTAGGTAGGTTATTATATAAATTAATGATTTGATGCCTTTAGAAAAGAAAAAAAAAACAATAATAGCAAATCTGTTATAACTCTTTTCAAAATTGTGTACATTTAAATAAAATTTACTACATAAAAAACAAACATGATATGTATCATCAGTGATATGTTAACTACAAAATGATATGTTAACTACAAAATATACTTACTTACTTACTTATCTTCACGCACAATCCCTAACGGGGTAGCCAGAAAGAACAGATCGCCAAGTGTCACGATCCTTACATACCTCTTTCGCTTCCTTCAGGTTCATTAACTTCTTCATACATGCACGTCTAGGTATCCGAGTACTCTTGACCCTCCCCTCTTCGAGCAATTTGCTCACATGGTCTTCGAAAGTTAGTCTCGGTCTACCTCGACACCTTTTAATATTTACTTTCGTTCTATATATTTTCTTCACCATTCGGTCTTCACTCATTCGCTCAACGTGCCCAAACCATTGGAGTACGCCCCTATCAATTTTTGTGATAAGGTCATCTTTCTATCCTG